CCCCAAAACCCCAAAACCCCAAAACCCCATCATTTCAATGATAGTCAAAGGATATTGAAGAAATTTAAAAAACTAAAAGATTTTAGATATTTCATTGGATGAATAGAGTTTCTTTTTGTGAGGCCTTGATTAGATCAGCATAATCACTAACCCATTTTTAAATAAGAGCAGTGAAACTTGTTCTAGCATCAGTTAAATCCTAAGGATCATCCTTGTTAGGAGCTCTCAAGTCAAGTAGGTGAGCACCACCCTTAATCAATCTTATCAGGATATCCTTATTATCTTTGAGAGTTCCCTCTGGAATACCACCAGCTCTCCATGGATCAAGATCACCATTACTGAAGATTATGTTTGAAATATGAGCAAAGTCCTTGTTTATGTTTCTGCCTCCAAATGTGTCCAAATTGTAATCAAATTATGGAATAAGTCCCTTTTTAGCGCAGTCAGAGATAATAAGATCTGGGTTGTATGGTTCAGGCAAGAACATATCAGTCTTACCACTCTGGAAAATTGGAGTAACAAATTCTTGGCAAGTTTAATAATCCCAAGCTTGGGTATCAGGAGGAGCAAATTGTTAATTTCCTCCATTAAGATTTGTGCAAATAGATTAGCCTGAATAGTTTGTAAATACTAAATACATTTTGGCAAGTGAATTAATGTAATCGAGATCAGAAGCTGGAACTCCTGCAGCTGTGCAAGCAGCTTTGACTGGATTTCCAGGCAGTGGTGCAATGAAGCTTGTTGGATATGGATAATTCACCATAGCCATATTTCCGAGAACACTTGGGATGGAATCAAGTAAAAACTGTACTTAATCAGAAGATGAAGGTTGACCATCACAAGTATTGAAAGCATTCTTGATATCTTAGTAATGAGTTTTGTCTGCCTAATAGGAATTTAAAAGTTAAAGACCCTTCTTAACAACGCTGCTACAATCGAATCCTGGGATAACATCTCTATATGTTCTTGTAACAAGTTCATTGAATGCATATGGAGATACAGCACCTGGGAAGAAAAGAATTGGAGCACTAGCTGCATGAGCACCTTAAATAATATGTGGGTATTTCATTCTAATCCAAGAAGCCAGCATTCCTCCATATGAGCCACCAAATGCTATAACAGCACTATTCTTGTATTTATCTTGAGACTTGATTGATTTAATAAGCTTGACATAGTCCATCATTACTTATTCAACAGTCAGGAATTTAACATTTTCTGGTTTGAAGCTATCATCTCCCATAGGCTTTGAAGATCCATAATATCTGTGCTCCCCAAATAAAACTACTGCATTCATTTAATGAGCTAAAAAATCAGTAACATAGCCAAGATTATCCCAGAAAATAGTTATTTCAGCTTCATTACCGCAGTAAAAGAGTATTGGGGCATCATTTCCCTTAACATTTGATTCATCGATCAAATATCTGAGTTTAAATGTTGAGGAGGCTCCATTTGTAACAAAATGATCAAGATCGACATCGAAGAAAGAGTCAGCTGGACGATTAGATTATTATAAGAGTCTTTGCTACTCTAGATAAGCCTAGTTTTCATGAGTTTAGAAGAGCTTGTTATTAAATAAACCTGTCACATAAACAGATGAAATAGAAACAAGTCCTAAGAGAGCTAAGAATTAATATCCTAATTGCTTCATTATAATAATTTATATAAAATATTTTATCTTGGCATATTTCATTTGGTATTCCAGTCTTTAGGGGTTTTGGGGTTTTGGGGTTTTGGGG